TTTTTCTACATATCTCAAGGTACCAGGTGGCTCGTGAATACTGAGATGGTGGGCCGGATGGAGCATCCCACAGAAGCGTGCGTGTGTGTGTGGGGGGGAGTTCCAGTCCCCAGAGTGCTTGGTGGTAGACCCGGAAGTGGACTAGAAGCACTTCTGGTTGACTTCTGGGTCTGCCGCGGAGTGCGCGGGGACCCTCACCCTGCCCCCCAGCTTGGTGACTGGTGCCTCCTGGCTCTGAGGGAGCATTAGAGTTCCCCCCCTTGGGCAATTGCCAAGATGGGAGCTGCAGGGGGTCCACCACAGAGCACATGGGGGGTGTCCCCATGCTCCTGTGGGATGTTCCGTCTGCCCCACCATCTCAGCGTTCACAAGCCGTGCCTGCGTACCTCAAAGTACATAGAAAAAACATCTAAAGCTGTGTCTATGGCCAAATAGCTGATTCTCTGAATCAGCACTGAATCTTCAGATTTGGATTCAGCTGAATCGAATTGGGACAGTGATCTGCATCAATGAACTGAATCACTGTCCCCCATATCGGGCCAAATCCAAACCGAATACAGCCAGTTTCACACAGCTCTAGTGGACAGCTCTCTTTATATCCATCATTCTGAAATAGGTTGTCTCAAGATCCTTGAAATCCTTTCATGGGTTTTCCAGGGTGCTTCACAATGTTAGCAGTGTTAGGTGTGCAAACATGATTCACAAAATAAATCCAGAAATTTCAAAAAGGAATCCATAGTTTTAATTTTTTTTTTTTTAGTGGTTCTGGTCTTTCTGAGTTCTTTACAACAGAAAAACTGCTCTGTTATTTTTCCATAGGGAAAAAAAAAAGGAAAACAATGGGCTAGTATTTCCTAAGAGATGCCTGGAATTTAAGAAAGTTGAAAACCAGTGGTCTATATTAACGGGGGAAGGCAAGGTAGATATGCCCCTTAGTGTTTATACATGTGCTCTGGGACGCGTGGGGCATGCATGATCAGCATCCCTGCGCTGAAAAATGGTAGTGAGGGTGCTTTAACTAAAGCTCATTGAACAAGCTTTAGTTAAAGCGCCGCCACCATCATTTTTCAGAGTGGGATGCTGATACATGTGACACTGGAGTCACTAATTACCATGTTCCAGCAGACTTGATTGAGTCTGCTCTGACACGCTGTAATTACAGCACACTGAAGCAAGCTCAATGCACATGTATAGGCAACCTTATAGACTAACAAAATGGGAGATATATTAACAGGAGATATTTACATGCAAAAATAATACATTTCAATCTATACAGTTTATGACTGTACAACTCCATTGGTCAAAAGCAGTCAATGACTTCTAATAAACAAGTTTAAGCAGATTAGTTTTAATGCTATAGGATAGTGTTTTTCAACCTTTTTTCATTTGTGGACCCCTAAAAAATGTTTTAATGGAAGTACAGAC